TCCCAAACCAGGGCTTGAAGCCAGGTCTTCCACATTGCAGGTGAATTCTTTACCGTCTGAGCCACCAGAACCCAGTAAGCTAGTCAGAACCAAATGAAAAAACACCACATTAACCTTAGAATGGAGCAATTTCATCTACTACCCAGAAGCCATGGGAAGATACTGGTGTCCCTCTTTATATTCCAGAAGAGACTGACCACTACCTTCCAGACTTAGGAAGAGACCTAGGTTCTTCCAGACCTAGGCTAAGAGATTAGCCAAGGGGTAAGACAAGGAAGGCCAACAGATACCTTTGGGCAGGGCAGGTCCCACCCTGCACAAGGGTACCCAACTGAGAGGGAGAAAATGGAGGCTGAAATTCATTCAACTGCCCTAGTGGCCTTCAACAATCCCTGAGAAAGAAAAACATTTTTCTAATTGTTCCTCTACTGTGGCTACTTCTCTGCAATTTGCCTGCCCCCAGGCGGTGCATGTTTCTAATTAGCACAAAGGCATCATATGAGCAAATAGTAGCCTTAAAAATTAACTTAAGAGACCTTAGAGCCATCAGGTGTTGTGAAGGCTGCAACCATAGATAACCTTTGTCTGGCCTTGGGCCTTGAAACCAAACATTGACTGAAGCTATCTTTCCCTTCCTGTTAACGCAGATTGTGAAGACAGTAATTCAGCTGTAAAATGAAAAGGAAGAAGAGTAACTCGCACTTGCTGAAAATCTGAAAATCTATTAAGTCAGGAATCTGCTGAAGCTTCGTCCCACTAGTAAGTGGAAGGGGTAGGAGAAAATTCACCTTTGAGTGGGTACCATGACTTAACAGGAAAAAACACGGGTTTTGGAGTCACAAGAGACAACTCTGAATCTTTGCCCTGCTGTTTACTAGTTGGCAACTTGAAGTGAATATTTAACTTCTCTGGGCTTTAGTGAGGAGTCACAAAGATAATAGATGTAAAGAGCTGAGCATAGTGGTGCCTGGCACATATAAGGCATTCAGCTCTTATGTCTTTTTCTGCTACCACCCTGACTCCAAAGTTAATTCACATTATTCACATCATTGGCCTTTAGGACCTCATTCAATAGAGCATAAGGATGAGTCTGTGCTGTGCTGCTGTGCTCAGTCATGTCTGACTCTTTGTGACCCCAGGGGCTGTAGTCCACTAGGCTCTTCCGTCCATGGGATTTCCCAGGCAAGAATACATGGAGTGGGTTGCCATTTCCTCTGCCAAGGTATCTTCCAGACTCAGGGATCAAACCAACATCTCCTGCAATGTCAGGCAGATTCTTTACCACTGAGCCACCTGGGAAGCCCCCAAGAATGGGTCTACCAGACAGAATATTGAAATGAGAGTCAGGAGACATCGATCCCAATGCCAGACACATCCCTTGATGTACACTGGGTAAGTTACTCCCCTCTCCTGATCCCATCAATAAAACAAGAGAACACATCTAGCTCTGCTGCTGAAAGGCAAGAGCAGAGGAAATTACTTTTCTTGAGCACCTGCCATGATATACACGCCAAGTTAGGCCCTTTTGCATACCTTATATACATATGCTAAATCAACACTGTCCCATAAAACTTTCTGATGTTGGGAATGTTCTGTATCTGACAATATCTAATTTGGTACTAACATTAGCCATAAGTATCTACTGAGCCCTTGAAATGTGGTTAGTGCAACTGAGGAACTAACTTTTTTATTTTATTTAAATTTAACTAATTCAAATTTAAATACCCATGTATTTAGACAGTGGTTACTGTATTAGATACTGCAGCCCTAAGATAATGAAGCAGGAATATTTGTTCCCATTTACTATACGTTGAAACTGGGGCTTAGAAAAATTTAAGAATTTGCTGAAAGTAACATAAATAGCAAATAAACCAGATTCAAAACCAAGCAGTAGAAAGTTTAGCAGCTTAGTACTGTCAGATACACTAGGAATTACCTAGGCTCCACTACTCACAAGTTATATAACCAAAGAGAAATAATTATAGTCTCTAGAACTCACTTTCATCATTTATAAAATATGGATAATCATCACCTAATTTATAGGCTTATTGTTGAGATTAATAGGTTAGAGCTTACATAGAGTGTGGCTTTCAGCAACTGTGTTTCTTCACCACCCTTTTACCTCAGCTCCACACAGAAGAAGTTTAGACATAAACTAAAAAAGATAACTGTAAGGTAGAGGGGGCATTTGGGAAAAATAAAAGCAAGAAAGGAAACATGAGCTTTCATATGTTATCTTTTATAGAATGGAGTTGAGGGAAGGTATGAAATCATCAAACTACTTAAACCTATTTGGTTTGCTTCCCTGCCCTATGCTTGATACTCCAGTCAATGTTAGCCAAGGCAGGGAACAAGGTATATATAATGTATTTTGAGGCCCAGAAAGACAAGATAATGCAGCTGAACAACACAGTACTGTCAAGGGCATGGACTCAAAGGGCAGGTAAAGTTCAATCCTGGTTACCAAACTTTTGTATGCACAAAATAATAGACACCACTTCACAACAGTCTTTCATCTGTGAAATGGGACAGATAACATGCAGGGTGTCTCAATAAAAGATATACATTTATTATTTTGCTTTACATTCCGTAGCACCCTCTAGTGGAATGTACAAAAACAAGCATTATATTTCTGCCCTCCAAAGCACACTTCTAAGTGTGCACTGGAATCACCAGAACAGTTTGTTATAACACAGACAGCCAAACCCTACCAACTACTAGAATTTCTGATTAGTTTGGAGGTGAGAATCTAAATTTCTGACAATTCCCCAACAGGTGATGCTATTGGTGTGTCTGGAAAACACTTTGAGAACCTCTGCTCTAAATCCCGCCCCTCCCCAATGCATGCACGTGTGTGCCCAGAAACACACATATGCACACATGCACAAACGTACAGAATCTATAACTGAAATAAGTATAACTTGTGTTGTTTGATTTTATTAATATGCCTCTAAAAAGGATTTTGTGAAGAATTAAAGAATATCATGTGATATATGACACAACATCTAAAATATAGAAGGCATGCAAAAAACTGAGGATCACAGAACATAAATCCCAGGTTCTCAGAACTAGTAACTGGTGGAATCAGGTTTAAAATTAGGCCTCTAAACTCCAAAAACATAAAGTTTAACAGTACTACTACAGAAGACAGGGTGAAAACACACAGATATAATCATAATTTCAAAAGTAAAAGAAGATCAGTTTTCAATTCCAGGGTCCAAGTACAGTAAAGACAAATGTCTGTACTGACTAGACAACCACCTGTGTTTTCCTTGCAGCAGGGCAGGGGTCAGGGTGAGGTGGTAAAGCGGGGCAGGTGGCAGCATTTTGAAAAGATTCTAACCCCACAGAAAGGGTTAGAATTTTCGTATCTTCATCAGCAACAGTGCCTGGGGTCATTCATCAATTCTAACTGTCTTACCCCAAAAACAGGCAAGAAGAAAGAGATGGGAGGGGGGAATTTTTTTTTAAGGAGGAAAGAAGTAAAGAAAGGAGGTAAAACATTTGAATAGAGCCATACCTGGTAGGGCTATTAAGAAGTTAATTTGGTTTTTCTTGAGAAATGAAAGATATATATGATCTTTATAGATTGGAAAGTTCAGCAAATCAGAAGGAAAAAAAAAAAGATTGGGGAAATCCCATAATTCCAGGGACCAAAGAGCCAATCCTTTGCTGGAATTTGGCGGCATCTAGTGGCAAACTCAAAAGGTATAAACCTCACACGGAGAACTTTCTGGAAAATTAAAATGAGTGCATACTTGTGTTAAGAGCACTCTGCCTGGAAATCAGAACAAGCAGGTAAGAGAGCCTCAGACCCCACAGAAATTCGGAGTCCCTAGTGGAGGGGAAGTCTGTCGTATACAGATATTCTCAGCAAAAAAATTGTGCCAGAATTGGACGCAACTTGGGGGTGGGGGAGGGACGGGGGAAGGAGCCGGGGTTGGGGGAAGAAAGCTATTAGGGAACAGCAAAGCTGCTTTTTGGAACTGCTAATAAGCGAATGGGGGATTTGGTTGTTAACTGCTGCTGGGCGTCGGCTTAGAACGGGATTTTTGATTCAGAGATAGACGTGGGAAGAAAGTGTATTTTTAGGGTTTAAAATTAAATCGATAGGGGAGACCAAAGTATTTCTAGCGAAAACCTTTTATCTCAGTGATGGTCGCCATGACTTAATCGCTTAATTTTCCTTTTCATAAGAATAATTTTCAAACATAAAGTAGAAAAAGGATCCGCAGAGAACGCGCACGCGCGCACACACACGCGCATGCACCCGCCCCAGAACACACACCAGCCCCGACGCTAGGGGCGCACGCCTGCGCACACCAGCCACCTCCAGCGCCACGAGGCCTGGCGTTCGTGCACACACCAACGCCAAGGCCATGCGGGCTCGCTTGCGCACAGGAGCCCTGACACCGCGCGCCCTCAGTACTCCTCACCCCCAACTCGCACACCCATCAAAACCCCCAGTCAGCTTTTTTTTTTTTTTTTTTTTCCTCCAGGAGTTGCGCAAGAGGTTCGGGGGCGTGGCCGCAGATTTGAGCTAGTGTTTCCCCACTCGCGGGGACCTTAGCTCATTTCCGCCCGTCCTGTTTCCGTAGGCCACGTAGGCACTTCCTTTCCCAGTTGGGGGCGGGGGGGAACCCACAATGCCTCCCTGCAGGAAAAAAAAAGAAAGAAACCTCTGGGCAGGGGAACTCTGGGTCGTGAAAGTAGACCACGTGAACACTCTGCCCTATAGACTTATGACCCAACCGCTGTCGCGCTTTTGGAGGGCGGGCTAAAAACCTAAGAGGGCGAACGTCATTGGTCAGAGCCCTCACTAAAGGAGGAAGGTGATTGGTTTCCTTCAAGCCTTAACGGTGAAGAAGCAGGTTGCTAGCACCCGCCTTTACTGCGGCGGAGTGTCATTACTGACGTGGTGAGCTTCATCCAATCATTTGGTTATAGAACATTCTAAAACTTAGATGAGACGATTGTGATTGGCTGTAGGGCATAAGCCCGCCTCCAGGGTGACGTGTCTGCCTATGGATATCAGTTGCCAGAGAAACCTGGCTTTACTATGGCGGTTGGAGAGACGGCAGTGATCACACGTCGTCTGTTGGAAAGAACTGGATCCTCGTTTCAGGTTTCGGGATGGGGGTGGGGAGAAAGGGTTGACGATTTCCTCTTATCGTCGCATATACAGACAAGGTTAATTAATGGCTTTACGATCGGGCAGAACTAGATTCGAATTCCTACTCGCCAACGCCCAGCTTGGGCTGGCTGTTCTTTCTGTGTCTCGGTTTCCATGTTTGTAAAATGGTGATAATAATAGTATCTGCCTCAGAGACTTGTGCCTCAGAGGCGTGTGCTGTATATTAGAGCGTGTAATATACGACTGCTAGGTAATGTAATACGTATAACTTAATACGCAGCGTGGCTCCAGAAGATGTTAGCTATTACTGTGGAGAGAAAAACCCGCGTAATAAACTGAGAAAAAACGTTAAATTATGTAAAGTCGTTCCTTACAGTGCTTTTCCTATCACCTCCTTCCGTAAAAGAAATCGAGATACAAAAGAGACCTATCAGTCTTTACCAATGAAATAATTTATTTGGCAATTACCTCAAAATAGCGGGGATTGGAATTTTCCGTATTGAAAAGTTAAAAAAAAGAAAGCGCGGGGGTGGGGAGAAACGGAGAACGAGGAATGAGAGCTAGCTGGAGATGAACCACATGCGATGAGTAGGCCTTATTTGAATCCTGATTCGGGGACACCAACTATAAAAAAAAATACTTAAAGATGCATCAGGAAATTTAAAAGACGGATTCGATATTTTATTTTTCTTAAGGAATTAATGACGATGTTTTAGACGCTATAATGATATTGTGGTTATGTTTTCAAATTGCTTGTAGCTTATAGAAATAATATACGAAAATACGAATTAAACAGTAAAAGCATTCAGGCTGGCTTCAAAATACCTTGATGTCTAGGATTTGCTTCAGAATTAGCTCAGCGGTAAGGGGAAGTGGCGAGGGGCATAGATAAAACAAAATTGGCACTAAATTAATCTTTTAAGCTGAGTGATTAGTGTATGGGATTCCTTGTATTGTTCTGTCTTCCTTGGTATATGTTTGAATTTTTCCATAATAAAATACAGAAAGTCAGTCAGAAAATTCAGTGCTCTTGAGAAAAACAAGAGGGGGGGGGGCGGCGAGCAGTGGGTGGGGTTACAGATAAAACAAGATGGCCTTCAGTTGGTAATTGTTGAAGCTGGATGATAGATTCGCAAAGGTTTATATTATTCCCCTACATTTTTATCCATTTGAAATTATCCTTAATAAAACTTAGAAAAAAGCAAAAAACAGATTATTTGAAATCATGGTAAATGTACAATAAGGTATATTTGAAAATGTAGCCACAAGAAAGGGGAAAAAAACTTGTATGTTTTTTATCAGCTTTGGTGTCCTTTGTGTATGTTAAAATGCATTGATGGAAAACAAAACGCTCATCTCATATCTTTATTTTATGTCCTTTGCTGTCCCCTTGTTTGACCTCCTAGACTACCATCAGAAAAACTAAGTTTGCTGTGTAGTGAGGATCAGCTCTGATCCTGATTGCAGAACATCCCTCATTACAGAATCTTGGGTAAGTGCCTCCCTTCTCCTGGCCTCAGTTCTCAAGATAATTCCACATAACCTTCCTAACTGTCTAGGAATATTTTGAGGATTAATAAGGGCCTGTCGAGGAAAGCACTCTACATTCTAAGAATGAAAGGATGGAGCTAAGTCCATCTGTGCTTTCAGTATAGAAAGTGCCTAAACATCAGTGGGCCCTGTAATTTTATGTTCCTTGGTAAAGGATACTTTCTAATTGATCCCCTACAGTTAGAGCCATGCATCTATATATTTTTTTAAGTTGGTGGCATTTCATATGCAGCATAATTTAGTGGTCAAGAGCAAATACTGCCTGAATTTAAATCCTGGTTCTGCCACTTACTGGAGGATCCTGGGCAGAATACTTACTCACTTTGTAAAGTTCCTCATCTGTAAAATAAAGATAATAATGGTTCCTACTTCATTGGATTATTGAGGAAATTACATGTAAATTGTTTGGCACATATAAGTAATTGATTTAATTAATCATTTTGACTATTAGTCCCTCTGGTACATCCTGTTTTACACACTTGTCCATGTGCACACATGCACACACGTGCTAATAAAAGCAATAGATACCTTTTTGGAGTTGTTAATAATAATAATACTGTTGGTTTCTCTCCTGATTTTCCAGAAGCAGCGGTTACTACTAGAACTGAATTCTGAAATTATAACTTCTGACTTATCCTAACACTCTAGAAAGGTATTGAGTATGTTGATCACGCTTATTTATAAGGGAATTTCTAAGAACTGTAATTTTAACTAGCAAATCAAAACCATCAGTCTGCTAACAGGTTTTATATTATTCCTCTTTTGTCTCAGACTCAAAAAATAATGTTTTTTGAAATGTTCCAAGATCCAGAATTGATATAAATGTAACTGACATGGTGTATATGCATTTAAAGATTTATTCCAACAAACCATTGGATTTGTTCACATTCATTTCTGACACAGTCATACACAAAAATGTCAGTAAATGGAGTCTGTATTCCTGAATAGCCTATCATTTGCATGAGGAGATGAAAGAAGGTTTTTCAGTCTCTTGACAGCTTTATTTTCCCATGGAGTCACTATATTTTCCTTTCTACTTTTTTTTTCCTTCTGAAAGCTAAGTTGCAGAGGAGGGCACACTGCCCTGGTGGGAAAGATGCAATAGATTGGAAGGGGGAGGGCACAGAACCCCTTATGGGAGGCTATTTGGAGAATGATTAAAGGTGAAAGAGAGAGAGGTGGACTGTTAGGCCAGTGGCAGCCCAGAGAAGGCAAGGGTCAAGGTAACCTGAAGGAGCCTCAAGGAGGAAAAGGATCTTGACCTGGGCCTCTGAGGATGGACAGAATCTATAAGGGGAGAAGGAAAGCAGTCCCAATGGTATGCATACAAAGTATATGATATACAATGCTTAAGTCCAGCTGTATGTTAGAACCATGAATAAGAATAGATCAGAAAATCAGGATTTTAAATATGCATATTTTAGTGTAAATCTTTAGTCACTTAATTGTTACGTGAATCAGTCTCATAATATAAAAAGCTAAAATATTACAGAGTAGGCCCAGGTTTCCTTTTCTCACGCCCCCATTTCTCTTACTCTCCCTAGAGTTAACCACTATATTATCAGTTCTGTTTTCTTCTAGATCTCTAAATTATATACCTGTTTAAAAATGTATATGGATATATATATATAAAATATTGTTTGGTGTTTTCTTTTACATAATATGATATCATATTATAGATATTGTTTTACAACTTGCCTTGGATGTCTTCATGTCCATTATAGAGTTGTTTGATTCCATTCACAGTGGCATTCCTTTTACTAGTATAATAGTCCATATAAAGGGTAAACCATGTTTTGTTTTGCCAAATCACTATTGATAGCCCTCCAGGTTGACTCCAGTGGTTTTCTGTTTCATTTATACTGCACCAAACATCCTTGAAACTCCTGTACAAGTGTTAATTCCAGGGCAGTATTTATGTCTTTAAATTATGATGATTAAATCAATGTTGATACTGGTGGGAGAAGAGACATCATTACGACAGACTAGATGATCTAGAAACAGTGATACCTTTAAAAATGGAATAATCAAAAATCATTGGAAACTACCTTTAAAGACCTGTATAATTTAGAATGTTATAAATCAATTCAAATCGGTGGGGAAAGGATAGGCTCTATTAATTAGAAAAAAATAGGCATAATATTTGGAAGAAACTATAAAATACTGAGAGATAATACAGGAAGTCATTTAGAATATTGATTTGGGAGCATTTTCCCCAGGCATGACATGCCAGAGTTCACAAAGGGAAAAGTTGACACATTTGTGTTTTTATACACACGCAGTGACCCACTTAGAAGAAGAATGACAGTTTGAAAAAAATATTACTAACATACAAAAAAACCTAGTGTTTAATTATTAGAAGTCAATAAAAGGCAAAACAGCGTATTAGAAACGGGGACAAAATATATGAGACAGATATGTACAAATATCTGAACATATGCTCAATATCACACGAATTCAAATAAAAATATCTTCCTACATATTAGATTCCTCCCCCTCTTTTTTTTTTTCCAAGAAGATGTTTATCCAGTGTTGCTGAAGTTGTGGGTGAATAAACTTAACATTTTTGCTGGGAGTACCAATTAAAACAGTTCTTCACAAGTTATATTTACCTCTTAAGTCATCAAAGTTGTAAATAAGCAAATCTTTTGAGCAGTTGAGAATGCCCTTCTGAATACTTAGTTAATACGCTAATATATCTGTACACTGATACCTATTAACATTTCTGTAATAATGAAGTGTTGGAAACAGCCTAAATGTTACATTTATATGGGACTGGCTAAATTATACTATGTGGAGATTGTAGAATGATGTGGATGTTAAAAAGAAGGAGCTAAGTATGTGGCCATAGATGCCTATGACTAAGTGAGAAAACGTGAGGGGCAATATGTGTCTCACCTTTGTCAAGACAAAGTGAATCCATGATACATGATCCCAGTATGTATGTAACAGACACATTTAGTTTTAAAAGTAGGTTTCTGTGTAAATGTGTACATAAAAAGATTTGAAGATATATTCTGAGATCAGGGAAGGGAGGTGGTAAGAGGATGCCCATATCTTTATATATTTTGATGTTTATAATTATGTAATAGTTTTATGATTATGTGAAGGAACTATTACTCAAATGCTACCACAAAATTAATTACTTGGGAATATAGATTTTCAGCTCACCACTTAAATAGTTTTTGGGTGGGTTGAGGAATTAATGTATTAAAAAAATCCATTAAAATGTCATCGATTTTTAAGCTTAATGGAAAAACCACATATTTTATCATATACATCTTTAAAATCTCATAGACACTATAAACTGGGGGAAATATTTGCCCAGATGTGACAATTGATAAGCAACTGTAAAAAACTCTTTTAAGAACCAATTCAAAATGAATAGAGGACATGTAAAATATAACTGGCCAGGAAACACATTTTTTAAAATACCAAGACAGCTAATAAAAGAAATACAAGCACCTATTTTCCTTATCAGGTTACAGTGCAGACCAGTGTTGTGAGATTGAAAATCGGTACAATTTGTGAGTGAAGTAATTTGGCAGCCTATTACCTTTTAATCTACTAAATCCACATCTGGGGGCAAAAAATCCTTTAATTACAGGATAAATTGAGGGGGAGGATCACTTTCCAGAAAGAGGGTGGTTGAATAAAGTATGCCCATTTGGTTTAATCTCATACAGCTCTGAAGATGTATGCGTATTCCAGCCTTACTTACATGGGGAAATGATCCGTCAAAATAGCCAAGGTTTTAAATATCTAAGATTTGATACCAAGATGAGGTTACCTTAAAGTATTTACACAGAAATGGAAGATAGAAAACTAAGGCAAACATACGAACATGTTTTCTCTGGCATACCCTAGAACTGACATGTAGGGAACAAGTGGGAAAATATTTGATGACCGTCATTCTTAATTTGTGCTTCCATTTTCCCCATGTGTTGAATCACCTCCTCACTGATTCACTAATGTATACCCAGAAGGGACCTAAGTGCTGCTGCAGAAAGTGAGAGATACATATTACACAAAGCTTATGGCAAGTGGAGATAAGTGGTGTAGTTCCATAAGCAGAACAGGTGAAACATTTAAATACTAAGTCGTGGAGTACTGACAGCTCATATGGTATCAGAGATGGAGCTAGAGTAGTTAGGAAATTTAATGGGACTTTTCATGGTAGTTAGATGAGGTAGATGAAGGGAGGAAGCATGATGGAAGTAACAAGTTGGTACACCAAGCCAGTAAACAAAATTAAACTCAGAAACTGGCAGATTCAGTTTAAAACAGCTCAAAGCAATGTGTAGTGCTAACGTTTTTAATGAGGAATGTCCACAGCACATATGTCACCAAGCGATGGAGTGATGTAAACTTCTAACAAGGGAGGTGCAAAGTGTAGTGACCCTAATAATAAGTTTGTATTACAAGTAGGAGACAGACATCAAAAGGATGGTTTTTCCTCCCTTTGATACCTGGTTTCTGACTCCAGGTAGTAATAGTTACTTGATCTGTGGGATACTCAGATGAAAATAAAGGTGCTGAGGCCATTCTAAGAAAGCCTGCTTCCTTGGCTTTATTCATTCTGAGCACAAACCTGGGTATTTTCCTGTCCAATGTCAGACATTTCATTCAACTTTGGACTTGATATGAATAATAGAATTTGTAGAGAATGATGAAACTCACCCACTTAATGAAAACCACATATAAATCCTCATGGTTTTCTTTGCATAAATAAATGTAATCAATGCCAAGAATATGCAGGAGGTTTAGCAGTCATTCTTAGGTTCCTCAGTAAGGAATTGCTGATGACCAGTGTGACGTCCAAAAGACTTCTCTGCAGCCTTGCTCCACTTCTGTGTGTTTTACAGTCTGCTTGGCACTGGGACATCTTGCTTTTTTTAGTTGGTATTTTAACTCTCCCCTTGTTTGTGGAAGCTCTGCCCATTATTTCTCAAGTTTTCTGCATATCACCTCTTATTACTTAACTAAACTCTTATATCCTCACATACTGTGTCCCCTCTGTCCCCGTTACAGTAAAATTTTTGTAAGAAACATTTTGTTAGCTTAGTTGCTTACGATGTAATACCATGAAACACTAACCACATCTCATCTTTCACAGGATGTGTCTATATATCCCTCTCAGCCAGAAGGTTCTGATTCCTACAGGGTCAGTGTCTGTATTCACAGATTTTGATGCTGAGGAGCACCTTTGCTCAGATTTCTGCTGAGAGCTTTGTGTTCTGTCAGAGGAAATCATATGCTTAGTGATAGCACCCAGGCCTCTTGCCAATAACTGACTTCCCTGATGCAAGGCTCTAGTTTTCTAGTGTTACTTACCTCATTTCCCCTTCAGGGATTCCCTGACACCTGCTCACATAATCTCAGGGGGTCTAGCAATTGGCAAAAGGGCTTTTTCTATGGGTTAAAATTGTGGTTACCAGAGAAACCTGGTTTCAGGCTTGTCTACCATCATATCTCGTTCTTTCCCAGAGGGTACTCTGGTTTTAATGGTCTGGTATTTATTCATCTAGATACTTTCTGATGTACTTTTATACACATCAGTTTAAAACACGGAAGTTGGACCTCACTGTTCATAAGAACTGTCTAAAACATGCTTATTTCTCCACTTGGGCTATTTCTGGGATCCTGTTGTACACATTATACATTATGCAACTTGCCTGTTTACCTAATAGTGTATAATTGAACATCATCCCACATCAGTACATGAATCTGCTTAATTCATTTGAATGTTCTTCCATGGTGTGCATACATCATACTTTGTATTGTCATTTCCCTATTGAAGAATATTTAGGTGTTTCCAGTTCTTCAGTATTCCAAATACCACTGCAATGAACATCCTTGTATCCTTATAAACGTATGCAGATACTCCTGCAAGGTACTGTGTTGGCTGTTCATCCACATCGTATTTATGAAATTCTTACCTAGGGGTAATTCGCCACACTCCATAGATGAAAGAGGCCAAGAAAGCTTAACATATCTTGCCCAGAGCCTCACAACTCATAAATGACAGCCTAACTGAAGTAGAAGTATGTCTAACAGCAGAACCCATGTGTTTTCTCTGCTATCACAATTATAAACCACATGTTTTAAAGTTAGATTATTTTTTCTTTTTCCTGGATTTCACAAAAAGTCATTGTTGATGCCTGCTTTCCCTTTCTAGGTTGTGTGTCTCACCTCATCTCCACGACCATCCCAGAAGATCTATAAGATTCCATCTGGGAAAACACTAGGAGTTCTTGGCAGGGAAAGAAGAGGATTGCGTAAGTCAAAGGACTTTGTTTAATCTGTCATTCAGTAAGAATCCCAGAACACTGTTGTTTTCATCTTTTATCTCACTAACCCTCTTTGCTGCATTTTATAGTGTAAACCATCTTTTTCCATCTTGAAATTCTCAACTTTTTTGGATTCCAAAATAACATTGTCCTAATTCTCCTATGGCTGCTCTAACCATTTTTGCTTGTGGTTTTTTTTTTTTTTTTTTTTTTTAGTCCTTCTCTCTGCTCATCCCTTAAGTATCATTCTTTCTTAGGTTTGTCCAGAATTCTAGACTTGTTCAGTTCTTCCTCTACCCTCCATGAATGATTTCTATTCCTATCTATATGATGATTACACTCAGGTCTCCATTTCTGCTTCTGATCTCTCACCTAAGTGTTAAAGTCACATGTTTAACTCCTTACCTCACACTTACTAGGTCTATACCAAAATTCTTTCCTCTAGTCTGTTTCCTCCTCTTCTAGATGCAGTCTTATTTGGTGATAATACTATGACCTAATCACCCATTATCAAAACCCTGGCAGTCATCACTGACTTTATCCCTCACCAATTATTACCTCCAACAAGCTATCACTGAAAGTAGCATTAGGTACCATTTCTTGCTTGCTCCAAAAATATCCTGTGTTTATAACTATCACTATACTAACCTTGTTGTTTCATAATCATCACTTTAGATATTTGAATCCCTAGTACCTAGCATAATACCTGTTCCAAAGTACATAAGCAGTAATATATGAAGACTAACTTGAATGAATGAATTAACTTGTTTCCTATTTTATTACTAATTCCAAACTAACCATTAAAAATTAGTGCTTTTACTAATTCATTAATTACCCAGACCTAAATTGTAGGGCCACCTTTGACTCATCTCTCTTCTTCATTTACCAAGTTCTATATTCACTTTCTCTTGACTCTGTCATCAGCCTAGTTCAGGCCTACCTGGACTTAGACAAAAACCTTTGCTGGTATGCATTTTGCTTCCAGGCAGCTAAATTAATCTTTCTTGTTTCTTTTGTCATTTTTCCTGTTCAGAAATAGTGAATTTCACCTCCACTGCCTTTTGTAGTTTAATTCATTCTTTCTCTGAAATTATATTCCTATCTTTTGAGTGACATCAAAAAACTAATTTATGGGCAGGTCTGATGAGTGATTGGGTAAGCTGAGAGTAGTGGGTGGGGGGTAGTGGGGATCAAAAAGCGAGCGAAGAGGTAGTAAGTCACTAACAATTAATTGGTTGTCCCTGAAATAGGATTTGAAATCCAGATTCCAAGAGAGTAGTGTGTGTTGTGCTTTAATAGGCCTTTAGGAAGCACACTGTGTTCAAAGTCTCCATAGAAAACAACCAAATAAAATGCTTTATGTATTACAGTGGTTGGAATAAAAACAGGGTTGAATGAGTTCCAGAAAGCAGGGTTCTCAAACTCGTGGACACCAATCTGCCGAAGAAGACAATTTCAAAAAACCAACTAGAAGCAACATGCAAAGAAGTAAAATGAGAGGGACATCTGGAAAGAAGACAGCTGGTCCCCAGCAGAAGAATCTGGAAGCAGCACTCCCNGGGGTGTGCCTTGGGGGAGCCCTTCCACATCCTGCCCAGGGGGCTAGATTCATCCTGTCCTATAGAACTGGTGAGTTGCTGGACTCTTATCTCACTCCAGCCAGAATCCAGCTGGACCAGCATCCGTCAAGCTTAAAGAGTAGTCTGAAGATTCCCCCAAAATAACACCAGCGCTTTACAAAGGCACTCCCCCTGGAATTTTTATGAATATTTTCTGTTTATACACTGCCTCTCTGCACACAGAAAACTATACTTCTAATCCCATAGCACCCTCAGCCCCTTGTCATTAGGTGAGGCTACGTGACTAGTTTTGGCTAATCAGCTGTGCATGGCAGTGACTTCTGTTACTTCTAGACTACAGTGACTTTAGAGAGGGAGTAGGTAAGAGATTGCTATGACACTCTTCCTTGCCACAGTAACCAGCAATGAACGTTCCAGGTTGTGGAGCCTCTGTCAGCTGAGGTCCATGACAGACTATAGGAATCAGAGCCCCCTCACCCCTGACCTTCACCAAGGGATGCTGGGCATTCCTTGCATGCTGGAAACTAAACCTTTACCATGTTAAGCCAGTGAAGTTTGGGGATTGTTACCCCAGCATAAGCTTAGCCTAACCTGACAAACAGATGGCTCTCAAAATTTAGGATGCAATAGAGTCACTTGTGAAACATTAAAATACATATTGTGTAACAAAAACATATTGGGGGACAGACTTATACATTAGTGATGTTAAAACAATTATCAGATGATTTGACAAACCCTTTTGAATTTTATACTTTTTAATTTTTTTAACTTTACTTGTTACCCAAGTACATGGAAAAGCAGAAGACGCGAACAAAAGAGGAAATTTTTTTTTTTTTAATCCAGAACTATATTGCTAACCTTCTAGTGTGGCATGTCAGGAATTTTCTTGTGAAAAAAGACCATGTTTTCCTTACACTCCTTTCCAGAGTGCCAACTCCAGGGCGACAGGGCGAGAGTGTGGGGAATGCAGTCCCTGAAAGGATTTGCTTCCATGTCTACAAGCACCCCACCGGCAGGAATCCGGTGTGCTTACCTCTCTCCATCTTTCCCTCCACCCACCCGCCCACGTCTTCCGCAATAGGAAGCTTGCACCCACGCAGGGTTCCCGCCCACCTCCCCAGCATTCCCGTTGCCCACCATTTTCTGAATCAAAATGGATAAAAGATGAGGCTGTGTGGTGAAAACTGCAGTACTGGACCTGCTCCCGGGTCCCCCCTCCCCACTTTCCTTTCCAGTGGTTTGCAGGTGGCTTCCACCTGCACTTGCACTCGCAGGGAACCCAGGAATTTGCATCCTCCTCCTCTTTTCCCGGGTCGGAGGCCAACCTGCTTTCAGTGCAGTAGGGAGCTGGTACCCAAGCCTGACCGCCGCCCCATTCCCAGATCCCTCCCACAAGCCCACCATTTTTTTGCCCCAAAGTCGACAGGAGCAGGGGCAGGAAAGGAGCATAGGCAATGCAGTCGTGGACCCACACTGGTGTTCGCCCTCGCCTTTGGATAGCCTCTGCTCAAATCACGGGCAGATGCTACTCTCTTCCTCTGGTCTAGAAGCGCGCCCGCCTACGCCTACTCCAAGGTAAGAGGGAGATGGTGCCTAGGCGGGAAAGAGGACTCAGACTACACAGTGACTGAAGTTCACGTCAGCCCTTTGTCCAGTGAGGCCATGTTAACAGTGAGTTCAGGTCCTAGATTAACTCAACAGCACTGCTGGAGCCGGGTTGTCCCCCACCCCCCCGAAAATCTTTTGTCAAGTGTATCATCTCCTTGGAATGTCTGTGTGGCTTTCTTAGATTATCAGAGAGAATCAGCCCCTGAGGGTTAATCCACGGAGTCTCCTTTTTTTCCCTCTGTCTGTTCCCTAGACTTTCCACCTCCCCTCCCCCGGAAGTCGACCATTTCCCTTGCAGTCCTGTCCAGGCACTTGAAATAGGGTTGAGGAAATGAGGGTCCGAGTGAGAGAGATTTTTACTAGTTCTTTTTAATATTTGTCAGTTCTGTTTCTTAAAGTTATTATTATCATTACTGTTATTACTATCAGCCTACATCCTGTTTGCCATTAAAAAACAGAAAAGAGCTCTCTACTGTCATTTGGGAAGCAGGAGGTAGATTCAAGCATGTGTGGGAATAAGTAAACAACCCAGCCACCTGTTTCCCCTGCTCAGTGATAATACAAATATGGATCCTTCAGACAGCCACGTTTTTTGGAAGTTTGAAATGGACAGAGCAGCTGAGGCTCCCCTTGTGAAGGGCCCCTGTGGGGGGTGGGGGTGGGGGGGGGTGGTCCATGAAGTCAGCCTCTGAGGTCACATAATTTCATAATACCAACTTGGAGCTTCAGATTTTAAAAGCTGGTCGGTCATAAGTTCAAGTTTTCTGGATTATGATTAACGTCCACAATTCCTCTATTTCCTAGTTCCCTACCATAGCCACATCCCTATTAACCCTTTCCAATTACAACCAAAATTTCATACTACTTCTTACCATCTCAGGGACAGATACAAATTGTGAGGCCTGAAACTTACAATTCAGGGAACGTACTTTACGAAAAAGGATATCAAAAATATATGAGCAATGCAGGCAATTAGGTGCCAAAGTTAATATTAATTTATAATAAATCACAAGAAATTATGAAATTTGAACAGCTGGTATATACAAAACATCTCAATTTCCATACACACAGCATTTTTGTTAATTACTGCCTTGGCCCACTAATATGATTTTTTCCCTACAATTTTTTTTTTATTACAAACTCTTTTAATCCTCTCTTCCTATGTCTGTGTAATATAATTTTTCTTAGAAAAAAATGTAAATATAATTCTGTATTTCCTTTGCATGGTTAATACATTTGTTACTATTATTATTATTGATAAAAGTTTTAGTTTTACAACTTATTATTGGTGACAGGTGAAATTTTAGAGGTAGAACTGCTGTCTACCTCTGTCAAATTTCTTTCTTATGTGAGCTTAACATTTAAGTTTCTTGTGAATATTTTTATCCTAAATACTCTTAATAATGATGCTTACAACCAGTTTGATGTCAGTGTCCTGAAGAGGAGCAGAATTTGCCACTCCAAAATATGCCTTTTGGGCACAAGATTATTTTAGGCTGATGATTTTTTAAGAAATCCAGACCTAGCAGAAGCTCAGAAAACCGGTAAGTTACCCTTTCCTAAGAGATATTTACATTTATAAGGGAAATTTCCACTTGTAAGGGTGTCTCCCTCTCAGTACCTGGAAGAGAAGGATGACTATATCTCTAGAAACTTTTATCAATGGAGAAGGCTTCAAGTTAAATTTACATAACAACCTTATTCTTGTTTACCTAGCTTTTCCTGGTTGCCTCTCGTGACTGGTCTCCCCCATTCCCACCCCCACCAGCAACATCCTTTGTCTTTAGCTGCAGATGGTTTTTAAGGCGGTGTCTTGGGCTATTTCCGGGAGTTACTCAGTTTTGCTGGGTTTCCTCTTTATACACAGGACCTATGCGTGCATGTGTGCTCACTCAGTCGTGACCAACTCTTTGCAACTGTTTCCAACTACATGGACTGTTGCCTGCCAGGCTCCTCTGTCCATGGAATTTTCCAGGTAAGAACACTGGAGTGGATTGCCCTTTCTTCCTCCAGGGTATCTTCCCGACCCAGGGATCAAACCCACCTCTCTTGTGTCTTCTGCATTGGCAGGTGGACTCTACCACTAGCGCCACCTGGGATGTATACATATTATTAATGTGTTTGTATATATGTATACATATTATTAATGTGTTTGTTTTTCTCTTACTAATCTATTCTTTATTACAGGAGGGTCTCAGTAAAGAACCTAGAAGGGTAGAGGGAAAATTATTAGTCCTCTCCCCCAGTCCTCACAGTAGTAGAAATTTTGAATTTTAAGGTATCTTCTTAGTCAATGCCAGTATTTCATACCATATCACCAAGAAATTAATATGAACCTGTGTGGATGTGATTGGGCAAAACCATACATGTAGTTGGTGTAGCAAAAGATCAGAAGTTCATCTTTGATAAATCATATTTTACATACTTATAGGGAAGCATTGGGAGCCAAGACTGAAAAAGTATCTTGGAATCAGGTAATGAAGTGGGAAATAGCATCAAATGCTAGCAAGTGGCTGGTGTTAAACCACCATAGTATTAATTTGAGCTGTAAAATTTTTTCAAGATCCGCTAAATGTATGAACAGCAATAGAGTATAGCATTAGTTAATTAGCATTAGAGTCAGATGACTCTAGTTTGAATCTTAGAGCTTCTACTTAGTACACTGTGAAATCTTACCGGTAATTAATTATACATGGAAGTAACTGAGAAAAGCATGAATAAATTATACAAGTAAACCCAAACTAAATGTAACTCCAAATCAACTTCCCCTTAATTTGATCCTAAACATTCCCACCTCCATCTCACCACTACCAACATGAGGGGAGTCAGAGTAGAAAAAGACAGTATTTTTTAATTGTCAGTATTTTTGCTTTGGTAACTTTACAAAAATATCTGAGACATTGTATGACCCCTGTATTAGTTTTCTGTTGTCATGTAACAAAATACCAAATTTAGCTGCTTGAAATAACATCCATTTCTTTGGCTACCAGTTCAGTAAGTCAGAAGTCAGGTGTGTACTGAGTTCTCTGTTCAGGATCTCATACGGCTGAAATCAAGGTGTCAGCCAGGCTACACTCATCTGGAACTTAGAGTCCTTTTCCAGGCTTACATTGTTGTGGCAGAATTAAGTTCCTTGTGGTTGTAGGATTGAGATCCTGCTCTCCTCCTGACCATCAGCTGGGGGCCACACTTGGCTCAGACGTCACCCACATTCCTTCCCACATGGCCCCTCTATCTTAAAAGCCAAAAGTGGAAAATCTCCCTCACATCGAATCCTTTTCACACTTCAAATCTTTCTGACTTAAGGAACAGCCATCTCTTTAAGGACTTGTTCAATTAAGTCAGACCCACTAAGTGATTACCCTTTTGATTAG